CCCCCCCCCCCACCCCACCCCCGCAGTGACCAAGGCGAGGTCCTGCGGGACTTGCGCCGCGAAATCCAAACCAACGTCCTGTCACTCACCGGCTCGAAATCCACCTACGGCCACCGAGCCCGGGCGTATGCCGAGCTGCGCGTCCTGCGCAGGGACCTGGCCAGGCGCGAGGCCAAGCTCCTGGACCACACCCTGCTGCAGGTGCCGAACGTCGTGCTGTCCACCCTGAGCGGCGCCGACTCGCGGCACGTTCGGTCCTTCGGGGGCCCTCGCGATGCGGCCTCCAGCCCGGGCGGGCCGCCCTTCGACTATGTCATCATCGACGAGGTGTCCCAGTCGATGGAGGCCGAGTGCTGGCTGGCCGCGCTGCGCGGGCGCCGGCTGATCCTCTGCGGCGATCCGCACCAGCTCCCGCCGACGGTGACCCTGTCCAACCCGCGAGGGAATGCCATCCTGTCGCACACGCTCTTCGAGCGCCTGGCCCGGCGCTGGTCGACCTCCTTCGTGCCGAGCAGCCCGCCCGCCGGGGTGCCGGTCCCGGGGCCGCACCCGGATGCCCGGCCCGCCAATGACCCGGTCACCATGCTGACCGTGCAGTACCGCATGAATCGGCACATTGCCGAGTGGTCCAATCGCCGGCTGTACCAGGGCCGCATTGAGTCGGCCCCGGCCGTGGCCGGCCACCTGCTGGCGGACGTGGTCCCCGAGCCGGCCGGCGGCGGCGGCGGCGGCGGCAAGTCCACCCAGTCCGGGCCCCTGCAGCCGCTCCTGGCCCATCCCCTGGTGTTCATCGACACGGTCGGGTGCGCGGGCTTCGAGGAGGTCAACCCGAGTGCCGGGGCGGCCGGCGGCCCGGCGACCGGTCCGCCCGGGGCCAAGCGCCTCCTCCGGCAGGTGCTCGCCTCCGAGTCCAAGAGCAACCCGAATGAGGCGCGCCTGGCGGTGCTGCTGGCGCACATGCTGCTGGCGGCCGGCCTGTCGCCGGATGCCCTGGCCATCATCTCGCCCTACGCGCAGCAGGTCCGCCAAATCACCGCCGGCCTGGCGCACGTCCAGGCCACCTCGCCGCCGGTCCCGGCGTCGCACGCGTCCAGCTCGCCGGGGGCCGGCCAGCGGGCCGGCCGCAAGGGGGCCGGCTCGGCCGGCCGGCGGCCCGCCAAGGCCGCCGCCGCCGCGGCCAAGAAGCCCGGCCCCGGCGCCCTGCCCGGCCCGGACATGACCCGCATCGAGGTGGGCACCGTGGACGGCATGCAGGGCCGCGAGAAGGAGGTCATCATCCTGTCCATGGTCCGGTCCAATGACGACGGCGAGGTGGGCTTCCTGGCCGATGTGCGCCGGCTGAATGTGGCCATCACCCGGGCCCGGCGCCTGTTGGTGGTCATCGGCTGCAGTGCCACCCTCGACCGGGACCCGGACCTGGCCACCTTCGTCGACCATCTGACCGCCCATGCGGACCTCCAAACCGCGGACTTCTACCCGCTGGACTCCCTGCCGGACCTGCCGGACCCGGATGCCCTGGGCGATGGCAACTGACTGCCTCGCATCTCTCGCTGGCCGGGGGGCGGGCGGGCGGGCGGGCGGGAGGGGGGGTCTTTCTTCCCTTTTCGAACCCTTGCTCCTGGTTCGGGCCCACAATGCGCCATGGGCCTGTGTTCTGGTGTGCCGATTAAGAATACACCATCATGTGTGGCTCGCACGTGCGCCTTCCCGCGGGGTCGCTTCTTCTCACGCCGGGGCCGTCCCCCACCCGGCCAGCCGGGCGCGGCCCGCCCGACGCCACCCTGGCGGCGCCCCTCTCCCCCGGAGCCCAGTTGCCTGCCCTCGGGTGGGTTGTGGCTCTTTCGGGTCGCGCGGGCGACCGGCCGCGGAAGAAGTGGGCGTGGGGGGGGGGGCGGATGTGCGGCCTGCCGTGCTTCCCGGCAGGCGCATCCGGGCCATCGCCCTTTCCTCGGCGGGAGGCGGGGGGGGGGGGGGGGGGATAAGACGCGGTCACTGCGCCCCGGTCCCACTGGCGGCCCCGGACGCGCACCTGGCCACGAGCGCGCTCTCGCGGCGCAGATGAGTGTGCATTCCCCGCTCGCCGCTGCGTTGGCTGCAACGCCCGCAGACCGGGAGGCCGGGGCCGAGAGCCCGCGGCAGGCGCATGCGCCGTGGCAGATGCACCGGCCCAAGGGGCGAGGGGGGGGGGCGTGCGCGCGGGCGCGCCTGCGCATGCCGGGGGCGCGCGTGTGACGCCCTGGCCGGTCGATCGTCATCCGCCGCCCTCCCCCCCGGCAGGGCCCGAGGCCCCGGGCCGGGCCCGAGAGATAAGGGGAGCCGGGCGCGCCCCTGCGTGGGGGCCGCGAGGGGGTCACGGCCCGCAGAGGGACCCTTGCCCGAGCCCGACGGCCTCGGCCCGGGGGAAAAATACGCCGTCCAAGGGAGGATCTTCCCCGCCGTCTTCCCCCCCCCCCCCCCCTGGGCACGGTCGGCCCGGGCAGCCCGCGCTCCCATCGCCAGGGGGCGCGCCCGGCCGCCGCCGCCGACATGTCATACGGCCTCGGCCGCGCCAACCAACGGTTGCCGGCGGCCGTGTGCCGGGGGCGGGCGGGGGGGGGCTGCCAACTGTTGTCGGATCGGCGGCCGAAGATTCTCGCGCGTGACTGCCTCGCCGCGCGAGGGACCCGGACCGGGCGGCCGATGGG